AGCATAATGAGAGGGGAGCACAGAGTTTCTGGCTCATCATCGTGTAATAAAGAGATTTTTCCCTGCTGTTCAAAAAGAGAGGGTTTAACTAATCCTTTGTGGAGAGTATCATGTCATACATATAACTGCTAATAACAGGAAATTAAGGAAAAGAAGAACGTAGGAAAAAAAAAAAGAAGAGTAGATTATAGAACAGTCTACCAAAAAGAGTAATGGAGAAAGGCATGCTTAAAACTCCAAATCATAGATAACCTATAGGACTTTCATGAGAAGACTTCAGTGATCTAATTTTGATGATCAAATAACCTAGATCTCTAATGATCTAATTATGTTAGTCTTTTTACAGAAATGTCAGTGCTTGAGGATTCGGGTCCCAGACCTTCACAGTGTGGTTTTCTGCGTGAGCACATAGTCAGCTTGGAGACGTGTGACAGGGAGCTGCATCGGACAAGGCAAGAGCTGATAAAGGTCCAGATGTGGACACTGGCAGGAACACCCCCAAGATCATACAGAAGGGGGGGGGGGGGGTCATAAAGGTGATGAGAGAGGGTCGTAAAGGAAGGAAACRCAGGTCTAAGCTCTAGGGTTGCGGGGAGAATTAGAAGATCAAAAATTAACACAGAAATGGGGACGCGAAGTATCACTATGCTAAAAGCGGCTACTTATCCGCAGAGGGTGACCAGTATGGAGAAATTAAACGAATACAATGGGATCAGTACACTTTGGGAGTTAACAGCACACAGTAGGTACATATCCAGGCAACAGGACTTACACAGAGCAACATGACAGGCAACACAAATTAAAGTTGAATGTAATTAGCCAGAAGAAAGGGAAGTGCAGTGAAAGGAGCCATGGGCTGAGACCTGAGCTTTCTCAGGCAAAGAGATAGGCTGTTGCGCCAGCCTGGGGCAAGGTATTTTTGATCACACCATCATAAAGTCAAAGAAGGTTTCTTGAGGAAGACAAGACCAATAACAGACATTGCAAAACATGCCAAAAGGTCCTTAGTAAGTTCACAGAATTGGTGCTGAAATCCAAACAACTATTATTGACTTAGTTAACTTTTGAGAACAGTACTAGGAGACCTTCTGACCAACCCTAGGAAGGGAGCACTTAGGTTCAGGAGACACAAACATGACTGGTGATAAATATTCATCATATGCTCTACCCTCACATCCAACACAAAGATGTTGGCTGTACAATGACATAATGTTTAAGCATGGAGATCTGCAGTGTGAGAACAGGCAAGTGCACAGTAGCAGCTTGCAGAGGAACAAATGCATGTGAAAATGCTCATGGAAAACCATATTCTTGGCTGCTGAAGTAGATGTAGCAGCACAGACACTGATGAAGCAGCTCATCCCAGAGTTAGCAGGGAATCAATTGGGCTCCTTACATTTTCCACCTCTACAGCACTCCTTTTAGCAATGAAAGATGACAGGAGTCAGTAAAACTAAAGACCAAAACTCATTCCTAGGAACTATTTTCATCACTCTGCAAAAAACAACAAACCAAAGGTCAATGGATGCACACAAAATGACAGCATGCCTGTTCAGCTGCCGAGGAGTCTGGCCAACCCTCCTGCCTATTCCTCCTACTCACGTATTTTTAATCAGAGAGGCATTCAGTTGAGACTAGCTACAGATGTTACAGACTTTCCATAAGCTGTATTTAACTGATTGGATTATTTGTCCTTAATCTCCATAGTGAAATTAACACTATTATTACTAATGTCACTTGCTTTAGAAAGCTGCACATTGGATTTCCTTTTTTTCCTACAGTATGTCTATATAAAACTAACTCTGATATTGGTGGCATACAAAATACATCCATGGGCTTTCAAAGAAGTCATTTACTGCAATTGCAATGCTAGCCAGCATTCTGCTTCCCATGTAAAGCAATTGTTAACCATTAATTTAGCTATACTACTTCTTTTGAAGGTGCCTTTTTAAATTTTTTTTTTTTTACTAGACTGACTGAACCTTACCTAACACTGAAGAAGTCTGAGTTGATTTGAATTAATTAAAAAAAGAAGTCAGATAAATGCTATGCTTCTAGACTCATCCCTATATTTATTTTACCTTTTCTTTCATGCTAGCTCTTCTACACAGTCTGGTAAGCAAGGTGCAGTGACTACTCGTAAGTGAACGAGAGCTTGCTTCCTAAATCCAACACGTTCATTTGAAAAAGTAGACATGTTGGCTAGGATTTCCACATTTGTTAGTTACCATACATACACATTTTGTAGTAAATTACCTGCTTACTACTGTTAAACCACTGGTTTTCAGTTCTATTAAGCCAGCCTTTGCTAGAACTAGCCTTTGCTGTTGCCTAAATACAGAAAAMCTGCTCACAAGTTCTGTAGTATCTCTTAATCAAATCAGTATCAGTACTTGTAAAATCATTAGTTTTATTATGAAATTAACAATATATTCCATGTTATTTAGTATAGAACTTCTACTGACTTCCATCACCGAGTGTGTGAGAAGATACATGCAAACACAGAAAGAGTTATCAGGTGAGAAAACACTGAATAGTTATCACAAGCTTTTGTTGCAATTCTAAGTGTTATCAAGTTCCAGCATAGTCTCCTGGTAGCAGAAAAAGCTTTTAAAATAGCCAAAGGCACTAAATATACATATAATAAAATACRCATTATCAGGACCAAGCATTCTGAAATAAGAAATTTGTAGGTTTAACGCTAGCTCCATTAAACCCAAAAGCAAAAATCCTGCTTCCTTAACTATGTATGTGACTTCATCCTCAGTATTTGATTCTTCAGAGACAACATCTTGAGATTCCTTCAAATTGGAGTGACATAAAATACCACACACCACACCGCATATTTTGAGTAAAAATACATTTCCATAACAATTATTTATGTTTGTATAAGGCTTTCCAAGCTTTACTGGATACATACAAAGCTGGATGATCTTTTCATTTGGAATAAGAAGTATCTCAAAAGACTTTTCTCACCTCTCAATAACTTTAAGCTGTCTGGTTGAGGGCCCTTCAGCTGCTCCTTGCAAARGTACCTAGAGCACCCTGAAGGGTCACCAAGTCTTCTCCTCTTCCCAGTCCTACTGCAAACACCACCAATCCCTGCTAGGAATTTAAGTCCCCCAGACCAGATGGAAGGAATCAATAGAGACCTCTGGGTGTTTCCCTCCCTGGGAAAAGAAAAAGAAAAAAAAAAATCGGTAGAAATATCCCACTGCGTATTAGCCTCACAGACCAATAGGAAAAAACGTTTCCTATTCATTTTATTCTCAATTTCTGGTCAAAAGCCAGAAAGTCTTTACAACTCTGTAAATGCAGCAGCAAAGAGATCAGCATTTTTTGCTGAGACCCACATATGGAGACAAACCCTTTCAAAGTATTAATTATCTGAAACTCCAGTAGTCAAAAGAGCAAGCAAAAGTAAAAAGCCTTCTAAAAGCACCATCATTTTTGCATTTAAAAACACAATACTGACAACACATTTACCTATCACTACACTGAAACAATCAAAGCAAAGAAAGAAGGAAAAAAAAAATACCCCTCCCCTGAGGAACTTAAAATCAATACACCTGTGAGTATGTTAGTCATGGCCCAGTTCATAATGACAAATGCCCACTGAGCAAAACCCCTGAAGGCAGTTACCACCTTGATTAGCAAGAAAGCCAGAAACTGAACAAGCTGGGGAGAATTAACTAATTACCAACTCTAAAATTGGCCTCTTTTCACTGATCACTATTATCTGTACCAACTGTGTAGCATGTAACTGTGCAACCTGCTGCTGGGGGTGGTATGGAAAACAAAATTTGTCTGTTAACTTTATTTATTTATTTATTTGTTTGTTTCAACTACCTCATGAAAGGAACTGTGAATCAAAGAAAATGTCTGGCACACATCAATACAAACTGTGAGAGACCCCCTTTCCAAAGGTCCAGGACTGTGTCCAGATGGCTTTTGAGTATCTCTGGGGAAGGAGATTCCTCAGCTTCCATGGGAGATCAGCTATTGCTCTGTCACCCTCACGGTMAAGACGTTTTTCCTGATATTTGGCCAGAGGTTTCTGCTAACACACCGTGATGATCAGCACGTGGGCCACATGTGGTTTTGTGAAAAATGAGCCTGTAATGCAGTTTATCCTTCAGGCCCCCCTCATCATATTTTCCTGACGGAACTCATTGCCCTGTCATTTTTACGGACTTTCCTCTTCCAACCTCTGATCCATGTGGTCTGCTCCMAAACTGATCCTGCGGTTTCTGCAGAAGGGGCCTGCTTCTCTAATGAAGGAGGTTATTACTGACTCACACTASCACTGGGACACAGCCCTTCAGGGTGGTTTGGGCTTTTCTTTCTTTTCCACCCATAAAAGCACCAGAAATGAAGTTTTACCATAAAAGGAAGCCCTTGAGAACCCCCAGTGCCCCCAGGGAGGGCCCAACAGGACAGGGGACAGCAGGGCGCAAGCAAGGGACACTGATCCTTGCACTCATGGCAGGACACAGCCRGGTGCCTCATTTCTGGAAAGAGCTATTCCCATATCCTACTCAAGAGGTTCTTATCTCCCAGCACAGGAGCTGTTCTCTGCTACAGCTATGCACCGCTGCTAATGGACACTGACATGCATGTGAAAAAATGGAAYTTCAAAAGCTCATGGTTTTACTTCACCATTCCCACCACACAAGTTGCTTTAGGTAAGAGCAAGACAGCAGAAAAACACGCCACATGAGGYGGAAAGATAAGTCTAAAGTGAGTACCAGGGCACCTTCACACCTTCTGGAAATATTTTTCAAAAAAACAGAGATCCACGCTTTGCATGCTACCACTACTGGAAGCAGTACYACTACTACTGCATATGGAGCCTACAATAAATAAATAAATAAAGAAGAAAGAAAAAACTGAAGAATAAAGGGAAAAAAACCACGCGAGCCCGCCCCCGTCCCAAAATGGCCGCCCCGCCCCGCGCCCCGCCCTCCCCTCGCCGCCGGCCGTTGGCGCCGCGCAGTGACAAGATGGCGGCGGCGGCGCTGGGCTGGGCGCTGCGGGCCGCTCGGCAGGTAGGCGGGCGGCCGCGCGGGCAGAGAGCCCCGCTCCTTCCCCGCCGCCCCCGGCCCGGCCCGGCGGAGCGAGACGGGCTTTGAGGGAGGCTGCGGCGGGGGGAAGCGGCTTCTGGGCTGCACATGAGGGCAGGAGCGCCGAAGCCCTTCAGAAGAGGTGGGTAGGAGGGGAGCGTTACTAATGCCAAGATAACGTCAGCAGTAGTTGTAACTCCTGCAAGATAATTTTTTTTCTTGGCTTTTGTGGAACAAGTTTATAGGAACAATTCATATTTGAGCTGGTCAAACAGTACATGTAACTGCTTCATATTTAAACTTTTTTTTTTTTAATTAGGTTCTACCTGCATCTTGCACGAGGCAAGTGCGGGGCTACTATGTGGACTGGAGGATGCTGCGGGACGTCAAGAGGAGGAAGCTGGCGTACGAGTACGCGGACGAGCGGCTGCGCATCAACGCCATCCGGAAAAACACCATCCTGCCCAAAGAGCTGCAGGTAGGAGGAGCTGCCCCGGGCCTGCAGGCAGCGGGAGCCATGCCTGGCACTGCCCTCACGTGCCCTGGGCTGGATAAAAACACTTAGACATTAAAAAAAAAAAAAAAAAAGTCTCCTTTAGAATATATATTTATGGTCACTTTTATAGCTTCCTAGACAAAGTAAGTATTTCTCCTTCTAATCACTTAAAAACCTGGAAACCAGATTCTGCCAAAACGAGTTACTTGGTGTCAGATACTTAATTTCACTTCTTGCATGAGTTGCAAGCGTGTAAATGCCTGAAATGAAATGTATGCACATTCACTGCCCCATTCTTGGCCTTTCTTAGTATTAGGAGCAGTTGCAAGTATCAGGAATACACTTTAATATTTCTGAAGGCATTAGAACTGGTATTCAGTTGTCGAGAGATGCCTTCATCGGTAAACAATCTGGGAAAGGCTTTTCTGCTGAATCTGCTTTTCYGTCCTGATTTTACAAAACTCATGGTAAACAATTTGTCAGATGTCCTTACAGAAAGAAAAAGGAATTGCCGCTGGTACACATTTCTGAAAACTTTCCTTACAAAATCTGAGCAATTCTGTAGGTCAACCCCTCCCTCCCCCCCCACAAAACTGCAGGTATGATAGACCAGATAGATTGTGTGTGTATATACACACACACACACATACAGAGTATATATACAGAAGTAGGATATATAGCAGTACAAAACCAATCAAAATATGGCTCCAAGATAAGTGGTTCTACTCACTTTGTTCAAGTTGAAAGCTGTGTTGTGACTGTCTTGAGCTGGTATTCTTTAAAAGTGAGAATCCGTTTTGGATGTATTGTGGCTTTTCAGCACTTTGCTTTAAAGTTGATTGGAAGCCTGATGTTCAGCAGTTCTCCTGCAGCATAATGAAAGTTTGTGTAACCCAGCATCAGATCTTTCTTTTACCTCCAGTTATCTTTCCACAACTTCCTAATACGACTGAACCTAGGATCCTTCAAGTCCTTCGATTACTTAAGAGTAGAGCCTATTAAGACTACAGTCATTCATGATTCTTACCTAAACTCGAGTGTCTCCCTTTTGTCTGCATTTCCTTTGGTCTTGTTGAGCTGAAATTCCTATTGCTGCTAAGTGATGTTTCCTGAAAACATCTACATAGAGAGATCATTCTTAAGTCTTCTTAAGAATGCTAAAACCCTTTTTCTTGATTTTTTTGTTGCTCCCCTCACAGCTCCTTCCGAAGTGAGCTATATAAACACTTTTGTTGGCATCGAAGTATACGTTACTGGGGAAGTCAGTTAATAGTTCAGCTCATCTTAAAGAATCAGCCCAACCTGCAACATGGACAAACAGATTTGAATCAACAGTTAATGTTCAGTGCATAAGGTCAACTTTTCAGTGTCCAAGCAGATTATTTTGCACCTACTATTAGCACGTCCAAAAAGAATCAAGTGAAGAAGACATGAACACATTCCTTAGAGAGAAGTGCACTCTATTAAAAAGGAACTCGTGGTCATTCCTGTCCTACAGCTAAGTTTTGAGGTCTGGAAATATTCCACGYACCCSCCMCCMCCACCACCACCTCTCAAAATGCTGGGCAGCATACTTCCAATCCTGTGCTATGATCTTGTTTTTAGGAAGTGGCCGATAAAGAAATTGCTGCCTTGCCCCGGGACAGCTGCCCTGTGAGGATCCGCAATCGCTGTGTCCTGACATCCCGGCCCCGAGGGGTGAAGCGGCGTTGGAGACTCAGCAGAATCGTTTTCCGTCACTTTGCTGACCACGCTCAGATGTCCGGTGTACAGAGAGCTATGTGGTAGATCACTGCACAGGCCCATCTTCAGCCAGAGGAYACCAAGGGGCCCAGTTTGTGTTCAAATAATGAAAGCAAGGCCCTCCTGTCTAGGAGTTCAGTATAAGAATCAAGCTAATGTGGGGAGGAAGAGAAGCTGTTCTCATTTATAAARTTCATTTGCTGGATTGACTGGTAGAGGCTGACTGAGGGGGAGGAAAAAAGCATAACTGCATTAAGCCACTCTGTGTTAGAGACAGGTTTATTTTAAGACAATTACTACCTGATTGTTGCAGAACTATGCTGAGGATTGTAGTAAGGACAACATTAAAAATAAAGACATACAGCACAAGGCTCATTCAAGCAGTTTGTTTGGCACAACACAGCAAGTTCACCGTGGTGATTTGGATAAAAGCCTAAATGAAGTTGCACAAGTGGGCAAAGAAGGATGAGAATGAATTGCAAGTAAGATACAGCCTCAAATCTAGAGACTTTTGCAATGCAAACTTATTAACAAGTGCATAAAGAACTTCTGGGTGTGCTAATATTCCTCTCCTGCTTGTAGCACGTACCTTGGTCCATGTAGAAATAAGGTAATGAAACAAGTCCTAGTTAGGCCACCATAGAAAAGTAATGGCTTGCTCAATTCAGTAACTACACCATCAAGGGAAGTGAGAGGAAGCAGGGAGGACGGAAACGAAAACCTGCTGCCTGACTGTACCTTTGCCCTGTATTCTTCCTCAGTGCAACRTACTTGAGGGGAAACAGCTACTCTGTCCCCATGAGTTGGGTTCAGAGGCAATAAACAGCCCAAGTAAATTCTCAAATGGAGATGCAGAGGCAGCAATTTGACAGTTGCTAACCTCCCCCCAAGTTAGTCCAATTCTTGTATATAAGTTACTTCAACATACTTCATTTCTATTACCTTAAACCCCATCAAAATTAGACAGGAGATAATGGAGGTTGTTTCTCTTTTCYTTATATACTGCTAGATTCAGGGAGAACTTTTTCCTGGCATCAGCAGCTCTGTGCTCTCCGGTCACTGCCTCTACCTCAAAGATATCACAAGGAGGTTACAATTAGCATAGGGACTAAAGAGTTTTCACTTTCAAAAGCCATAAGGGGTTAAACATCCAGTACTTCATGTTGGAGAGTAATAAGGTTTAATACCAYAGCATAAAGACCATAACGTTTCTGCTCAGCTATTGAGTGCAGTGTTCTGACATGGCAGTTCTGCTTTATTCAGCACTTCTCCCTTGTTACATACCTTACAGTTTAACATGCTATCCCACATGGAATAAGACGAACACTTGTGTAGAGACTTCATCCCTACATGGGTACAGCTGTCATGATACAGCAAAGTGACCTCAACCTATCTTAGTTCAGTGTTCCTTTTCTTTTACATTCTCAGTTTCAAAAAAGTCTTTTTCTTTTTTTTTTGGAAGGAGGGGTAAGGATATACCTATGTGCCCCTCTTTAGGAAATGGTGAACCATGTGACTGAAGGGAATGCTTTGTAAGCTATTTTATTTAAATATTTTCTCCAACCTGAAATGGAAAATGACTGTCTTTGCTTGGAAGAAGGTTGTGTAAACAATGATTTTTGCAGCACAGGAAGTCTCACATGGAAGATCAGTATTAAGGCGGCCCTCCGAGTACTTTCAAAGATCCATTGGTAGGTCTCCTTTGGACTGTTTTTCTCTGCTTTCAACCCAAGCCTTGTTGATGGTGCGCTTCATTTCATCATCCCCTTCTGCATACATCTTTTTCAAAAGGCTCATAAGCCCTTCACTGGGGTCTGAGGTGTCATAGGCAGCTTTCCTGCAAGACAGATGCACATGAAAAGGCCCGGTATATCTCACAACTCTCTGCACAAAAATACAAACACTAGAATTTGTTAGAACTATCTGGTAACAGTAAAAATTTTGCTTTGACAAAGTCTTGAGTCTGTGGAAGTCTTTAGTAACAGCTCATTTTGATCCTAAGTAGGGGGAGTGCCTAAGGTGCACATTTAGTATTGAAGTAAGTTTATGAAAAGTAATACATTTGCAGCAAGGATGATGGGAAGCATTTTGCAACACTGCCAAAAATTAATTTGGGGAAGCAGATGCTGAATATAACAAATCTAGAAACTGCCAACATCTGTCTCTGCAGTTACATGAAAGTTTAACGGGAACAGAAAAATGACTACACTCCGAGCCACCTGAAGTGACCATATCAGAATACTTGTAATCTAAAAAAGCATTTTCTGCTTCATGTTATTTTGATCATCTCCAGAGGTCAAATCACTGATCTTGAACTATTCTTCAAAATAATTTTCTCAACGTATGAAGCAACTAACAAATACCGTCATCCACACATTGATACCCACTTGCTACACACATTGTAAGCATCTGGTAAAACATGTCCCACATTAACAGATGACTGAATATTGTCATCTTTCTCAAAATTACCTCTTTAGAACATTTTCTAAGTTCTCCTTGGTTCTACTAGAAAAGCAGTGTGCRGATTTAAATAGGTCAGCAGAGGGAGCAAGTTCTCCATGCACAGGGCTAACAGACAGTCTCCAAGAGCTGAGCATGCAGCTTTTGGAAGACATTTTCTGCAATGCCACACATACAACATTCTGGATAAGGAGGCAATACTCATTATGAACAGGCTAGCCATTGTAGGCTCTTCTTTACATAAGATAAGTGGCTTCACCCAGAAATTCCATCCCTCTGGCAACATGCACTTGTAGCCAAGTCACTTCCTGATACCCAAAAATGCAGTTTGAGAGARGAAGGTAGTTTTGCTCTGGATTCAGCTCTGGTTATTAGAATTGATCAGTTTTAGCAAATCATACTATAAGCACAYGCTAAATATTCGTTGTAGGTTGCTTCAGAGATCTGCAGGACAGAATCACGGGAAGGTGAATGCTTCTTGGATGCACACATGCGCTTCTGGATGCACACTCCTCACAGCAAGGACCAGTAAAAACCGCTCATGACATTTTCCATTCTTTCATATCTGGTCTCTGCACTGCTTGCATGATTGTTATCTAACTCCTTAAGCACACCAATCTAAATTGGTTTGATATTTTATATAATGATTCAAAATAACCAAAAGCTAATTTTTGCCAAAAGGATGCTGGGACTGCTCTGCAAGTCCTTTACATGCAGATGCGAGAAAACAGTAATTATTTCAACCAGCATAATTCTGGGAAAAATGTATATATTTTTATGGAAAGTACATATGCATACACTTAGTCTAAGAACAGTAAAGCCTGTTAGAGAAGTACCTGTAAGGAATGTAGCTGCCGAGATACAATCAATTCCTTAACTGGTTAAATAGGATGCTGCACAGAGTGATAAAAGTATCTGCCTTACTTCCCACAAGGCAGGTTTCATTAGCAACRAAACAGTAGAGGAGTGGCGAACTTAGTAGCTTGGAGTGTATTTCTTGTATTGCCAGTGACATCAGTACCAAAAAAAATCCCAGCCTAACAATTCTCAAATAGCCTAAAGGCTCCAAAATGAACAATTCTTACAGTTAAATTGCATAATCAATACAGCCTATACCTGCTATCTTCATCGTTCTAATACTATTTCAGTAAAACAAGAAATGGAAGGCTAAGTGGGGGAAAGGCACTTACTCTTTCTCTTTGCTTTCTTTTTCCACTTGAGTGAGACAGTCCCATTTTTCCTCACGCTTCTTCTTACACATCACAAGGACTGTGTCTGTCTTTATCTGTATGGAAAACACGATATGAACATAGAATACTCCAAAGGAGGATGCTATAACCACAATGAATGAGATTAGCTAGTTATATAAATCTCCTTCTACTCTCAACTCCTTGACACATTGATGTCAGCTTATGTAGAAGTTAATAGGTTCAGCTTAGGTAGAAGTTAATAGGTACAGCAACAGGGTACCAAGTACTAACCTCACTATGGTGGCACAATTAYGTCCAATACCAGTATATGTTAAAACAGCAGAACATCCAGCACTGCAGGAAATACACTGACCCTTCAGTTACTTCTAAGATGCTAAAAACAGCTATGACTGTTTCTAAACAGTGGGTATTTTTACCTTTCAAAAGAACTGTAAAATGATCATTTTAAGGTCCAATAAAAAGTGCATTCAAAAGAGAGCAACTTCATACACCTGCAGCAATCTGGGCATGTAAGATAGGTATGCAGTTTAAATTGCCATGCAAAGTGTCACATTCGCTTCTACACTTCAGAAGAGTCTAGAAGGTCAGCAAGGGTACTCCCTAAGTTCAGATACAGACTGCTCCCAGGATATTTCTCCTGGGATAAGAAACTAGTTCTGGAACACTACTTAACCTTTGCCTGTATTTTGCAAGCGCATTGCAAAGCCTGTTGAACTGACTGCAACCCTGCCACCCTGACCCAAACTTTCCTATATGCCACAGCAGCCAAGATTCTGCTGCAGCTTTAGCATAAGTCAGTAAGTGCACRTCTACTGCTTGCTTTTATATTCTGCTGAAAACTACCACGGCATTGCCCTTATTACCTTGTTTTATTTACACTGTTCTACTTCCAGGCAGAGCAAAATAGTTCTGGAATAGAACCGTTGTTTCTGTACATTCGATGCCACAAAGTAGATTGGCAAATATTTACAACTGCACAAGATATCTGAAATATCTATCCCTAGACACAGAAGCGTGCTAGAAGCAGCAGAGTAACACATTATCTCAAGTTGCAACCACCAGCAGTAAAAGTGTTCCTGGTATTTAATTACGGAGCACACACCGTAGCAACGACAAAGCAGGTTTTGGACCATGGACAAGGTATGGCATTACACCTATTTACACTATCCCAAATTGACAACTGCAGTCAAGTCCGTAGTTCCTGTAGCTGCAAAGATTTCTCTGGAGGTGTTGAAACGCACCTTTCTCAAGCTGCCTTCTATCGAGATGGGTTTCAGAAGGTTGTTGAAGGTCATGGTGTAGTTCTTCCCATTCAAATTCTTCACTAGCAGATCAAATGACCTGGAACAAGAAAGTGAAGGGAGGAACAGCACAAACAAAAGTTCCAAGCAGTGAAAGACTGTTCTGCCCTGTCATCAAATACAGTGTCTGCAAACCATTAAGCAGGCATATTTCTTGGGAAAGAAAGCCAACAGACTTTCAAATTTTCATTAAGATATAATACTGTGCACTTAAAAGGACTCATCCAGGTTTCACAATAAATCAAGATCTTCAGTGCTTTTTCTAACATGTRCTTTACAGAGCTCTTATAACCTTGGAAAGGATGAGGATTCACTTAATGAAATTTCAGTTCTATCGCCATTACGTATGCATCAAGTGTGGTAAGGCATATAAAAATATTCTGACACCCACTAATAAGAGCTATTCCTAAGTATGCACTAAAACTCTTAAAAGCTAATATTTTTAAGTAAATAATTATAAGTAATTTTACTAAAGTTAAAGCTTTTTAAAAAAGAAAAAGCACAGAACAAAATTGAATACAACACACTCCAGTGTYGTAATACACACCCAGTGTCCCTCCTGGCTTAGTGAAGAAACACAAACTCACCTCTCTGTGAAATTCACCTGCACGTTCTCAGCTGGGAGCTTCTGGACTCCATTTAAAGAGATGTAAATTTTAATAAACTTATCTGACTGATCCCAACCTGCAAGTGAGACAGAGCCTGAGTGTTAGCTTTCTTCAAAAACTTGATCCATTCCATTAAAAAAAAAAAAAAAACACACAAACTAAAAACATTCCCTAGCAATGATTATGACCATAAACTGAAGCCATCTTTGGAGGAATAACATTAATTCATTACTTTTTCCTTAAAAAGATCTTCTCTTTTTCTTGAATAATTTGATAATAAAAGGAGGTCCTAGCATGTAACTCTGTTCTAATTCCTGGAAGGCCCAGGAAACAAAAAGACATATAGCAGCTCAGGAAGAGGACAGCAGCTCCATCTCAACTAGGGGAGCTAGAAGTAAATGCCACTTTTTTTCTGCACTTCCCTTGACCCATTTTTTCTTAGCTCTCCACATCACAAGTCCCTTGAGCAATTCCTTCGCCTTTTACCTACATGGTGAGCAGAGAAGCCAAAACTCWGTCTTACATTCTTGCTAAGAATGTAAGAATGCAATGGAAAAAAATACTAGTATGGGCACTGGGGATCACTAACCAACATGTCTCTCTGTTAAAGACAGACTATTACACAAACAGAATTAAGGCACAGTGAATTGGGTCCATAAGCAYGTAATAGCAGTAACAGCGGGGCTGTGGACCAGCGGGGTCTGTGGTGGTATAAGCATTTGAGAATTCTTCTCTATAACAGTAAATGGCTACTAAGACTCAAACTAATACCACCCTGAATTCTGTTCAAAGCAGAAAATGGTGTTCTAATAATTATACAGAGGAGCAATCTTACCATAGTTGTTTATTTTCACTGTATATCCTCCAAGCGATGATTTTTCTTCTTCTCCTGCATCTGCTTTCAGCTTTGTTGGAGGCTGGTTCTTGATTTCTAACTCTAGCTTGTGTTTTTCAGTCGTGAGGACATCGTGAAGTCGCTTTCTGGTGGCTTTCATCAGCAATTCTTTAACCTCTTCTAGATCTTTCTGCAACTGATTTAAGAATAAGAAATTAGGTCGTAGAGAAATAGATGCAGCTCATTTTACTCAGGGTTCACACCACAAGGCTCCTTCACTTCTGCCAGTTGGGGATTCAGATTCAAGAAGTCAAGTTACACTTTCCTCTACACCCTCTTTAGCATGAGGCCATCCATCTGTCCCGTACTCCATGGTCACTAAGGTTTGAACTCCTCAATTTCAATCTTTAAACTTTGATCAGTTAAAAAATGAAGCAGGTAAAAGTTTAACATTTGGAGCGCATTGTCAAAAAGGTTTTCTGTTATGTTAAATAACATACTGCACAATCACAAAAAAGGGACCAATAGAACTCTGCAAAAATTCAGACTGAAGACTCAGAAAAAAAAAAAGTCAGATGCAGATAATGGTCTCCTACGCTCTCAGTTACACACTACTTATTACTAGCGACCCCCAACTACACGCTATTTATCACTTGCAGCCTTTACATATACCAGCTGCCTAAGCCAAAAGCAACATCTCCTCATATAGCATTAAACTACTCTCACCCTCAAATTAAGGCTCCTTGATTTACGGCCTAACAGACATAAAACAAAAGACTCCAAATTACTCCAGCAATAAATGCGAAGAGGCAATAAGAGGATGACAAGAGGCCACGCTCCCTGTTAAGAGCTTTACTGCAGAACCGGGCCAGTGGGGTGGTTTACAAACCAAATCTCGGCTGGGTCCGTAGGCTGAGGCCGCTAAGCCTGCTGCTGACTCCATGGCAAAGGCTGTTCCTGCACCAGTCCGGACACGGCGCTTCATTCCTTTGGCATGCCCTCTCTAGCCTCATCCCTACGGCGTCCCTTAACCCCAACCTTAACCCTAAACCCAACCCCGAGCCTCCCCGGCCKAATGCCGGCCCCAAGGCAAGCTCCCCAGTCCCAGCCTGGCCACAGCGCCCCATTTCCGAGCTCGTGCCGCCGCCGCGGGCCGCTCACCTCCTCGCGCACGGCGGCCATGGCCCCGGCGGCGCCTCTCGAACCTTCTCCGCCTCTCGCCGCGCACGCCAGCCGCCCCCGCACGCGCACGCGCCTTCCTCTTCCGGCGCCGCGCAGGGGCCGGCGGGCGTGGCTGTGGGAGCGTGCGTCACGCGGGGCGGGGCAGGGGCGACCGTTAGGCGGCCGTTARCGGTCGCGAGTGGCCGCTGCGGGGTGTGCTGCTCTGATGGAGGCGAGGGCTCGGCTCGGCTTGGCTGCCGCTGGTCGGTTGATCCTGCCGCGGGATGGCGCTGAGCAACCTGTAGGCAGAGGACTCGGGCGGCCGAGCTGGCGGCGCTTCGCGTGCCCTGCGAGCTGGGCGCGCGTGGGCTGCGCGGCTGGACACAGCTCTGCGGGTGGAGCTGCGCTAACATCGGGATGCTGCATTTCCCAGGTTGGAAAGAAAAGTAAGCCTGACAAAGCTCAGTTTTCCGTGTGCACATTTTAACAAGTTGCCAAGGGCACCCTCTCTCACAGTCGAGAATCAGCAGTCGCTGAGGCAGAAAGGGGAGAATAGAGCTAGAACAGTAAGGGGAATGTATCAGCTCAACTGAAAGCGCCTGGTCTAGTCTCTCTGAATGACAAAACACCATGCAGCACATTGTTGTTCAGTGATCATTGGCTCTAGGGACAGAACAGAACATCCAGAAGGGCTTTGAAAGGATGTGGCCTTCTCGGCTTACCTGTTGCAGCCTGCCCTCACTGTGTGTAGGTACTGACCAGAACTGATGACAAACAGTCATTAGACAGTGATTTGGAAGTGATTCCACAGCTGTGGCTTGTCTGGTGAACTAATTAGTTACAAATAGTCATGTTCAACTTTTCTATGCTTAGGCCCTGATAACTTTCTCTCAAGTTCTGTGTGCTTTTCCAGTTATGCAGCAGCAGTGGCTGTTCATATAAATAGAAAAAAAAATGTGTGTGTATATATACACACACATATATATATTACAACCACACATATATATATTACAACTAGATCTATTGTTAACATGGAAAAATGGTTTTATAACACATTTAAATACTCCTAATTTTTTTTAGAAGTAAATTCATAAGAAAGTTAGCTTTAATGACTGGCAATGCTTCTCTTATAAATTAAGTTTTCTGTTTTTTGCTGGTACCCTCTGCTCCCTGATCCTTCTGTTTTAGACACATCATGATTGCTTGTATGTTTCTCTTGTGTACTTCCACTGACAAATCAAGAAAGAAATACAAGAGCAACAGCTCTTATTTCCACCATCTTTTATATCAAAAGCCTTCAGGAAGAGCATATTGATCCACATGGTCCCTATATTGTAATTCTCAAACTAACATTAGGAAAAGAGGACCCACATGACTTATTAGCTCTGCAATATAACATCTGTCTCATGGAACAGGTATGAAATTAGCTGTGTAGTTCTCAGGCATTTTGGCTGMCTCGGCTGCTAAATCACTGTGTTTTAGTACAGTAGTGTTGTCTGAAAATCGCCAGTTTGAGTAAACTATGTCTGAAGACCTGATACAGTGGTTATTTGTTAAAAAAGACACATTTAAACTGTTTTTAACCAAGTGGCTTATGAAAAGAACCATCTTATTCCCATCCTGTTTGCATTTCTATTTATTTTACAAGGCATCATTCACACAATGATAACAAGGTACTGATCCAAACGAGTCTGTAACATTTAAAAAAGTAAACATTTGTTGTGACCATGTACATTAAATTGCACTTTTAATAACAAGCATTACACTTATATGTCCATATTATACTTTATATAATGCATGGATTTTTTTGCACAAGAAGTGACAGTACTGGCTTGTTCCCAGTTAAAGGGCTCATGCCACAATGCTCCTTGTTTTTTCCTAATCCATTATGCAAAGCACATCTTTATGAACTAGGAACATGCCCAGAAACAATCTTTTCCTGAATAACTTCAAACCTGGAAAATGTCCCGGCATATCACAGGTTTGAAGCTGCTCTTTACTTCAGTTTTGGGGAGCGAATCAACCTTGAATTACTGTAAGGGTTGGATCTGTATCAGCTAAGATTCATTTCTGCTTTCACTCACCATCTTTTTGCTGTTTGAACAAACTATAAGGAGTCTTCTTTACGTGGGAACAACATGTTCCAAGAGAACTCCTGCTACAGCTCCTGAAGAGGCAGCCCTGGGAATTGTTAGAAGGAATGAATTGGCATCAGGAGGAAAATCTGAGAACATCTGCTCTTGTTTGCATTGGTAGTAGCATCCATGTATTATATAAAATACAAAAATAAGAGAAACTGAAAGGAAATTAGTACGGCCCAGGATTCTCATGGTATCAAATTACAAATGAAATTTACGATACCAAATCCTTTTGACGTATTTATCTCCTTGTTATTCAGTTTCCTATATATTATTTTATATATAAGATATAGTTTTCCAAAGATACATATATATTCCTTTACAGGTTAAATAAAAGCAAGTCCCACTGAATAAGAAAATAAGAGAAAATAAAGTTACAACTTTCTACCTTTAATGTTTAAGGTAAAAATAGCATGAAATACATTCAGTAGCAAAGCAGTGGAAATGTAGAAGAAATGGAGAGTCCTATATTCCTGGAGTAAAATTCTGCATGTCTTAAGTCAGGATTCTGAAATAAGTTATTTAGACTTCTGAGTAAGGAAAGATATGCTCTTGGTCAATGCTGAGAATTAGTGATCCAGGTCCAAATTCTTTGAATTTCTCTCTAAATGCCATCTGTGAATTAGCCCGATTTTGAAGGGTGCTATGATGTTTATCTGTTCTAAGTTAAAGGTCCAAAAATCAGTGCTTCATTGTGTCTCCCTTCAGTGTTATTTAGCAGGAGGTAATGGGACAGCTCCCAGTAGGATATTAGCATAATCGTCAGTAAAAGAATTTATTTGAAGCCAGCCTCGGTGTTTGCCAGAACCGAGTGATGTCTGGTTCTGTGTACACTCAACAACCCCAGATATACACAGTGTTACACATGTTGGAAAGCCAGCTGCTTGAACAACAGCCCATTTAGCAGGGTAGCTCTAAAGGATGGTGGCTGGTCAACCAGGAGAACAGTCACTGAGTCTTCACATACAAACCTCTGCCCTGACCTTCCCATTCTGAAAATGACTTGTGCTATTTTTTTTTTTTCTCTAGCAGTTCAGAAAAAAAAAAAATAAGACATGAGTTTGTTTTCAATGCCAAAGATTTTTAGACTTAGTAGATTATGCAGAAGTGTGCCAAATATCCCTGAGTCTAACAGCTTTATAATCAGAGGTATAGTTCTCCCACATGTATGAGTAGTTTTATGTATTTCAATGCAACTACTTATTATAAGGAAGGAAACTTGGTCATACTAGTTTCCTGGGATGAACTGTAGAAAAACATGACTTTCTTACCTATATAATTATTGACTCCCAACATAACTACCTCATTTAGTTATTGAGTGACATCCTGAAGCCAATGGGACACCTTACATGTTGTCAAGGCATCTGAATTTTTGCTGTGCTTGACTTTGTCTTTCTAAAGAAAGATGTTATCTTTATTTTTTTTTTCTCTCCCTTTGTAAACATTTGGTTTTACTTTGTTTTGAACACAAAACCTTATAAGAAAATTTCAAGGGCCAACCAGAAAATCCTTTCTGACTTCTAACAGGAGGAAGAAAACAAARCAAAACCACCTGCTCATTTAATATGTAATTTATCTATATCAAATTGGAGAATCAACTAATTCATGGGCAGGGCAAGGATATGTTTGTCAACTGGCAGTACTGATTACATGGCTGACCCCCATTCCAGATACTGGTTTCACTAAACAGTCATGTGTATGATCCTCAGGGAATGTACGTTCCTTGCATTAAAGCCAGGCAGTGATTTTTTTTTTAATCAATTTTAACTCTGGCTGAATCAATCTATAATTTGTTAAGTAAGCAATATTACTTTAGAGTACCATGTTTGAATCATAAAGTGATATAAAAATAGTTCATAGATCTATTATGGAACTAAATCAGCCTTGCTTTATTTATCCTGTAAAGTGTTACAGTCGAAGTTAAAACAACTTCTTAAAGTGGGGAAAAAAGATTCTTTCCCTACTGTGCATCTCAGGAACAGATTAGAATCCAATCAAGTTAAAAGCTGTACTAAAAAAATTATTTGGAAGTTTGTACATAATCAAAGTAAAGGTCTTATTTCAAAAGTATGCATTCTCAAAAAAAGTAAAATATTTAGTTAAGAATTATATTAATATAAACTAATACATAAATTATATATTAGTTTATATATGACTACTTTTCACACAAATTTGATGTTAACACGTAGTTGGAYACTGACTCAAATTTTAGAAAATCATTCATACTTGAGAGCTTTGTTAGTTATCCCAGTGCCACATGAACATAGCTGTTTCAGTTTGACTTTGATTTAATGAAGTTTTCTACTGAAAAATCTGAATAAACACYGAGCCAGCTCTCCCCAACCTATCAGTCACTCTGGGATCTATGTATTTCCTGAAGGTGCTTAGAGCTGTCATCCACAGCTGAAAGGGCTAATTAAAACCCAAATATTTATCTCAGAAGAAGCAGTTTAGTGTCATAATAGTATGTACCGTCAACAGGAAGAATTTTAGGTAGAACCTGTAAGTTGCCTGTTTTAACGCTCTGGTCTTGCTACCTTCTGAGCTTCTGAACGATTCCAATCGGACTATTCCTATTCAACTAGAAAAATCACTTTAGAAATGACATAAAGTTATCCTGCTTATTCTTTTAGTAATTTTCTGATGACTCAGTTTCCAAATATAAATATTCATTTTACAAATGCCTCTGATACAAGCACTACCTGGCAACTCCAGATGAAAGATGAAAATTTACTGCCTTTGTTACTGCCAAGAGAGCTAATTCAGCCATTTCCTTCTGAAGCTTATTTTGCAGATGTGAGGCACAAGAAAAGCTTCCACTCCTACCCGTGTTTGCACTCATTATAGYTGGCAGGTGGCAAACGTTTTTGTCACAGAAATTTCTAAAGACGGAGTTGCACTACTGAGAAAGAAGATGTCATGTCAAAACTACAACTCCATGAGACCTGGTGAGCTTACTCTAAAAGTTATTTGGCAAAAAATGCTTGTTAGACAAATTTAAAAAAAATCCACATTAAAAAAAAATATCTCCAGTATGGACCAGAACAAGGGATGAGCAGGGCTGCACAACAGCTAGTGGAAGTAAGATCTTTCAGCAGCAGTGAGTTGTTACCTTAGCTCAGCTGCTCAGTGAATCAAAGTATTAATCAATGATTATTACTGCATTTTTCCAATCAAGGTCATAAATCCACTTGTGAGTACAACTTAAATGAGAAATCTGGACACTTGCCAAACCATCAGTGTCACTCATCAACACAGTGCTCTCAAATATAACAATCAAAGGTTGACCAGAAATTCTTAAACATCACTTCCACTTTATTACATAGTTTATTTCAGGTGTGAAATGGTCCTGATAAGTGAAATAATAATGCAAAGGTTAGACATTCCACAAAAGGGAAACATTTACACAAATATTATTAGCAAGAAATTGACTTGGGAAAGAAAAAAAATCTTTGTTCTACTTGCAAAACTAAATCCTTCTGCCTTTTCCACATAATCACTGTTCTTCAAATTAAGTTTATAAACTATAAAGACTAAAAATTTTAATTCCTTGCTTTTACAAGATAGAGTCTGCATTGTCAAGTTGCAGGATAGTTGTTACAATAGTAGTTATATTTTGATCTCTACTTCAAACAGCTGACTGCCTTTCAGGATGATCCATTTGGCACAATGTAAACATTAAATTTGTACTACCCTGTTTAAAATAATTTACAATTATGCTTGACAATAAAGCACAAGATGAGTATCATTAAATTTTATTGTACAAAAATGACAAGATAAGCATTCCTTAGAATTTAAAAAAAAAAAAAAAATCAAAACAGGACTAATGTCCTGTTCCTGGAACAATTTTGTAAATGGAAAAATTAGTGCACCAACTTTTGTTCATCAATGATATTTATCTGCAAGACCTTCTTCTAGACTTGTTGGGTATAATTAAAAAAATATTCCCATCAGTYCAAGCAATAGTTTAATTTGCCATGAAATAAGTATTTTTGTAAACACTAAGTCAAAACAAATGCCTTCGAATTTTCTTGCTTTAAAGATACAAAACAACTACACATATTCGGGAATCRGAGAATCTCCCATGGGAAAAATTAAGCTATTCCACTTGAAAATTTTTATATTTATAAAAATAAGTAACACATCAATGTAGCATTTCCTAATCAAACACTTAAAGAAAACAGATCTTGTTTCTGTCATGTTTTATTCACCACTGCAGGAAAAAAAAAAACCTCATTTCTGTGTCAAATTGAAAGCCTGAATATAGATGCAGGGAAATTTGGTTGTTAATTTTATTCATAAAACCTACCTTTTATTGCACAGTATTCACACATACACACAAAATCAAATGTATGCAAGGTCTGCACTTTGCTTATTGCCAAAAAAATCAAATCARTTTTTAATAGTTTTCCCTTTCTCCCAGTGGAAGGAATTTTATTTTGAAATTTGTATAAAATAAAATTTAAAAAGTTAACTAGATAAAATTTTATGTTAAATTCCAGTTYAGCTGTAAATAACATTGAAACAGCAGTGCTACGAAGAATTGCACTACTTGTATTTCTGAAGAAAAAAAATCAAAACTTTGAAATTATTAGGGAAGCTCAAACAATTGTGCCAAGAGAGCACAAGACTACCTTTGCTATGGCCTAAGCTTTACAAAAAGTGCTTCTCTGCAGGACACAGTCACAGCAATACAGTTCTGAGATGGTCCTAGGGCATGAGTTATTCTTGACACCCGCACACACACTAGTACTTATTACACTGTGCTTTCTGTGAAGAGATTATGCTTCAGTACTTTACATTCTCTGTTCTGTTTCTTCCTCTCCTAGAAGAAAAAACCTTTTAGGCAAGGTAAAAATAATTTTGAATAATTAGTCATGTATTAAAGACCTAGTTTTGAATTATTTATTAATTTTTAACATCTAGTCATATAAAATAAATTGTAAAAGTATGAAGGTATCAGAACGTGGCTTTCAACAAGGCAGTTGGGAAACAGGAATTCAACATAAAACAGGATTTTCTTTTTTTTTTTTTCCTCCCTTGTAAAGGGTCACATCAGAATGAATGAAAAACACCGAAGAATTTCACTTCAAGCCTGCGCTCCTGCCTTTTGTCCTTTCCCCAAGAGGAGAGCCCACTGGAAGAACCCTCCAGGGTTTGCATGAGTTATGTTGTTCTTTGTGCTCTGGTACCGGGGCTCTGGCTGGAACTATGTACTGCTCTCTTTGGGCGGCAGAGGTGGCTGAGGCTGCTGCGGTGGCTGTGTGCCTGTGGCGGTTTTGATAGAGTTCAGGGTTTTGCTAAACCAAGAGTTTTTGGCAGCTTGGATTTCATTCATAAGGGCTCCTCTCTGGTGCTCCAGCTCCTAAGAAAGCAGAATAGTCAGAATCGATCAAAAAATAACAATTAACAAAAGAGTATCTTCAGACTCTATCACTGCAATCAAGCACTTTCCGTCCAACCTCCCAGGGTGCTGGAGAAGGACAAACTGAAACCTACATTCATTTCTACAAATGAAAGTTTTCTTAATTTGTTTTTAAGGACAGAGGAAATTAAGATTCTAGAAGTTTACTGATATACATTGATAAAGGTACATGCTCCTTTTAGAAACAATTTTTCTGATTCAGAATTACAAAATTCCCAGTGCAGTGAAGAGACCACCACACTGTAGTCAGATTCCATGTACCTGAATTTTGCACTTGGCTTCCACAAGCTGCAGTTTGGTCTGTGCAAGTTCCAGCTCCATCTCTCTCAGCTGTTTGGTGAGTGCATCCTTCTCATCATCTGTTTCGATTCCTTTATTATCCTTGTTTGCTGCAGACACCTTCAGTGCTCCCTCCTTACTGAAAATCTCACTGCAGTGTTTGCAGGCCATCACCTTACCCTGAAAGAGCCAGAAAGTTTGTTTTTAATTCAAATTAGATAGGAGTTTTCTGGAAAAAAATATAGTCTGAAAATGATGGAATGGTATAGTGGTAATATATACTGAAGGCTTCATTAAAGTATTTGAGAAGTTCCTGAACTTACATGAACTTTTACTGAACAATAAAAGAATCCATAAAAACTACAAGTACGTTCTGTTTCTGCACAGAGACTTCGCTTCTAGACTAGAATTGCACAAAGTTTTTGTAATCAAGACACTGTAATATTTTGCAGTATTAGTGGCAGCTCACTGCAGAAGAATAAGTTCTACTCTAGGGACTTTTTGTCTTGCAAAGAAACACTTGACAAATGCTTAAGTTAATTCAGTTTTTGAGATTTTAAAGCAATGCAGGTAGCTTTTCCACATTTCCCAGAAGACAGCGTCCTGTTTTGGCTGTGCTCTCTTGCTAGCAGTTGAATTTAAGCATCTTACAGATGAGCCCTCTATGCCAACAGCGTCTGAAGATGTAGCAGGGCTGGCCTGCCCTCACCTCATATAAATGAAAACAAGCTATTGAACTATTTCAGCAAATTATAGGAACATCACTAATTGTACTCACTTTTGTGATGAAACATAGAAGATACAGCAGAAGGAAAATAATTGTGAAAGGAAATAAAGCCTTTAATTATTTACATCTTATGAAAAATGAGTGTGGGGCTAACTGGGGCAGCTTAACAGATGCTACCACTGTTTGCCATTAAATTCAGTTCACATTTTGTTCTGCATTTAGGAATACTTGAGTTAGAAACACATCATATACAGAAACATCATTCTCACCTTCACAACTTCCAGCTCATCTTTACTGGCTGCCTGCTGTTTTTCCAGCCTGGTACTCAGCTGAGAACAAATCTGCAGGACAGGTAGATAAAGTTTACTAAAATATAGCAAGTACTTATGAACAGTGATGTTTGTTAGAGGTATACCATATTCTCTGCCTCATTCAGATATGTATTTCACCTAACATATCCACTGCAGGTAATAAGGCTGAAAAAGACAGTATTCAATATTGAACCTTAATATGGAGATGGGAACATTTTATAGACAAATTGGTTTATATAATTTAAACTGCATTGTGCCACAAAAGAAAGAAGCATATACCCTACAGTATTAAGAATATCTAAAGGATAGGTTATTCTTAGTTCCCTAAGATAGCAGACTAGTAGGAAGATCACATAAAGAATTATCACAGATTACAAAAGAATTACAATAGATTAAAATGCTTGCTCTCCAGAAGTCTGCCATGTAATGCATTTTAGAGCATGAGGTCTACACAAACATAAAAATTCAGCTCATGTTGAAAAGGTTTACAAGTAAAAGAGAGTTTCTGTGGAACATTACCTGTTTATACTCGGCAATAATGGCTGTGGTCTTCTTAATCTCAGATTCCGCTTTCTCTAGCTGCTTTCTGAACACCTCCTTCAACTACAAATTCAAGGAGAGAAGTTACACTGTATGCTGAAAGATTACAAATCCAATTGTTCTCAAAGCTTTGCTCTGTTTATAGCAGTACTAAAGCTTTTTATTACAGTTATTTTTAATTATAGTTCTTCAGACAAAAATCTCATTTACTCAACATATAAATTAGATATATTCAGTTAATAGCCCCCAAATCTCTCCAGTCTGTATTGGGACATAGTGTATCCCTGCTTCCCAGAGTGTTCTCCTGTATGGTAATTTTCTCTTTCTTTGCATTAAATGGTGTATTATGGTCCAAACTATGCAAAACAAGACCACGACAGAATTTTTTTTTTTTTTTTTTTTTTCTCCTCTCTGCACACTGTACAGCAGGTTTGGAGAGGCCTGGTGGGATGGACTGTCTGTTTGTTTGTTCTGAGACTGAACAGGGTGGGGGAAAAAAAGAAAAAAAATCACTCCAGCCCTATCACACTTTCATCTCCCCAACAGGAGAGAGAAAGTTCTGGTYTTGTCTCTGTCACTGCATTAAAATACAGCTAACTCCTTTCCTTATCATTCAGAACTATGAAGCTTTGAGAGCCCTTTCCATAGGTAAAGACCATTAGAGGGTAGATCAAACACAGAATGTGGCAGCCTCCATTTTAGAGGCACACCAAATTACTCTTTGTTGCAGTCATATATTAAATGCTTTAGCCTATAGATACTCAATCTTATCTTTTAAGTTTGCATATTTGGCAGATGAGGAAAAATGAGGCCAGCTCTAGTAGCAGAAATCCCCCCAAAACTTCAGCTCTATTCTGCTGTTCGTTCTAGCTTATGGTAAGAACATTAATAGCTTTATTTTCATGCAACAGCAGCTGAATTCAGAATGACCTCTGATACAGTGGACAGTCAGAGGTTAAGTAAAGACAGACACCAGGAAACATATTTTTCATAGAAACATTTATCCTGGTGATGTGAATTTTTTTTTTTTTTTTTTTTTAACTGCCACTGCAGTCTGGAGACAGAATTCTTTCCACAACACCTAGATATGCTTTTGCTAGTGTTTAGCTAAATGGAAGAAGTCAGACTATGTCTTACCTGAGCAGTTTCTTCTTCCTGCTTCCGTTTCTCTTCCTCAGTCTCTACTAGTCTCTGTTTGGTCAGGAGAAGTTCCTTGTTCAGAACATCTGCTTTGTCTTCAGCCTAGAATTAAATAAGCCAGTGTGATCTAAGTGTTATCTGTTCTAATAGAAATATATTCATGTGCTTGTCTCAAATATGTTACAGATTGAGGTTCTAGAAGCACCTCACCCTGAAATGGCTCACCTGACCTATTTTTAATGGAAATTCCCATTTCAAATAGTATTTTCTAAGCTATTTCATTGCAGTTCAACAACTATGCAAAAGGACCCTTCTGCCAAATACTGTCCACAACCAGGTTACAGGAAAACAAGATTCATAGATCATGTGTCTTTAAGCAGACCTAATATAATGCTACATAGATTATTTTTGTTCAGAACAATATTAATCCAAATGATGGCAGCCTGATTTAGCTCTTGTGTAATGTTAGTTAACTCATTCCATTTTTCATACCTGTAAATGGGGAAAAGCAGATGCCTTACAAAATGTCAGTGCTTAGACAAGTATAAAAGTGACAAACAGGATTCTCAAGTAAAAAAGTTTGGTTAATAATGAAAARTAAGTATTTTCAGGAGAAAAGAGATACCCTGTGTGTACTGTAGAATATTAACTTTCTCTTTTCTGTGAAGAGCTGAGGATATGGTGAAATGTATTGGTGAATGCTTTAGTTTTATACAGCTATCCTCACTGATCATTAGGACAGAAATAGTCAGTGTCTGATAATATTCTGCTGACTACCTCAGCTCCTAACCGGGAGATAAACACTGTGTCGCACCACTCATCTGTCCAATAACCGTGAGCTAAACGAGGCAATGGCTGTGCAATTTGCTGAAAATGCAGAAGGGCAAATTGCGCTGTAGAACAATGAACAACAGTATAGGATCTGTCTCTGAATTACACTTCATTTCTGCCATTGTGGAGATATTAACTTATCTATCTGACAAAGCACTAAATATTAATGAGGCTGTTACTGGTGATAGCAAAAGCAGCTCCACTAAGGCCATGGCCAAAGTGATGGACTGAGGAGACCTGCACTGCTTAGTCTACAAATGGCCATATGGAAGAAAGGAATAGAGATGAGTGGAAGAAAGGAAGAGGCATCTTAGGACAAAAGTAGGATGGGATTTATGAACTTATATTTATGGTAAAATACCTGTTTAAAAATGTAATATAGACATTATAATATTTTGAAGTAACAATTAAAATAATTTATTCTTTTAATCTGGTCTTTCCAGGTTCTCCTGGCATCTGCAGTGGAAGGCAGTAGGATGGGTGTCACCCACTGTTGCCCATGAGGCCTGCGAGGGTACTTGCTCGACAGCAAAGTCCTGATGCTCCAGAAAGCAACTCAGGGAGGAGCAAACAATAAGCTTGTTCTGTGTGCAAATATTCCTGTATGCAGAAGCACTTCAACAAGTCATTTTTGTCCTTTACAAGAAAAGAGCCACCTCCCCTAGGCATCTCTGACTGCTCTTGCTCACCCAAGATGGCTCAGATTCTTAGAATCGCATGGATCCCAAACAGCAGAGTCCAATTCTTGAGAATTTCACTAAAAARAAATATAAATTGCAACTACTGCAGTCAGTGACATGTTAACAACTTCCAAGTTAAATAATAAAAGCCTGAAACTCTGGAAAAATTAAGCTGAGAGGCTTATGCAGGACTAAATTTTATATTAGAAGAGTATTATTGCCTTTACTGAGCAAGGCGCTAATCAACAAGGATCCAGGGATATACCACTGCTATATTCAGTACATTCATAACAGCTGCTAAGGAATTTATCAGTATTACATAAAATACTAAAGCAAAGAGGAGGGTGGAACGTGAAAGCCAAATCTGGGATAAATGGCTCTGAAAGCCAGTGTCCTCCGCACTGCTGGATTCATAGGTAACAGGAACCCTTTCCATTTTTGATGCCAAGCTACTTCATTATCTCTGAATTTTTTTTTGCTGTTCTGCTTGGACTCATGGCTGCTGCTGATGGACTCACCTGGTCCAAGTCATTTCGTAAGGCGATTTTGCTTGTTACAAGTTCATGTGCAAGGTCATCGTTCTCCTGCTCCAGCCTCATACTCGCTTCCTGGAGCCTGCGGTTCTCCCTCTGCAGGAAGAAAGGAACAACCAGAAACAGAAGTTAATCCTTGTCAATAAAAAAGAAAGGTGAGCGAGTATATTGTACACTGAGAAGGCAAGAGTGCACGTTAAGACAGGACTGCTGCCCTGGGAGACAATAGTGAATTAAGCCAGCAGTGCAAATGCAGCAATTCCTTTTACATCCCAATGACTTTGTTTGAGACGTGCAAGCGCCACACTGACCATAGGGCTTCTCTGTCAAATGTAAAGTTTGTCCTCTCCTCTAAACCTCTTCTCCTTGGTCATCATGGGAAGAAATTAGGCAAATAAAATCCCACCCAGTATCAGTGAAAAGGACTCCTTAAAGAGATAATGGTATTTCTCATCAAAAGTCTGTCCTGCTGCATTTTGCAAAATTTTGACTGCAGGTAACCATAGAAACAGTCCATTTTGTAAATGCTGTAGTGGCAACTGTCCATCGTCCAGTGAAGAACAGCACTTAGATGGGAACTTCTCTTCAGCTCAGAGATCTCCACTTCTGCACTTTCTCCATAATTTGCCCATGCGAAACAGAGCTCACTTTAAAGGACACCTGCTGAGCACAACTCTCGGCTGGAGAGCGGCTCTTGCTTGCCGAGCATCAGGCAGCAATGCAGAACCATGCTCTGCAGGCAAAGCCCAACGCCACCAAATGCAGAACTTGGAGAGCGATGGCCCTGGTCCTCCCTTGTACTGCACTCACCACCACTTTACACTGCTATAAATGACTACCTAGAACACTAGCTAGGGAAGGTAAGTTGTACTAGAGAAGAATGAAGAATAGTAAGCCGGGTTTCTTACTAAATCAGTTGGACTAACTGTTCGGCTGGGGCTGAGAAGTAGAATCCTGTTTAAAGAACGTCCCGGGATCACTGGACTTCCAGTTCACATCCAATACTTGGCTACAGAAGGAAGCAGCCAAAGGGACCAGATAGAAGGGCTCTCCTCAAATGAGTTTGAAGAGGACAGAGAATCCGTTGGCCTTTGCTAACACACTGCCCCCATATCTCCCATACAGAGCAGATGGCTGAGGCTGTCAGTGTGCTCTGGAAACTCCAGGAAAAAAAAAAGCAAGTTCATGAAAAATTCACAGATGGAGGAGCAATAATCTACATGCTGAGACTTCAAAAAAAAAAAAAAAMCATATTCACTTAAAAGGCAAGTTACCTTCTCCAAGGAAAAATAGTAAAGAGAAATATGTATAACGGCATTTAGGACAGCAAAATATTTTCCAAAAGTCATTCAGTTAATACCATCCTTCAGAAATTGCTTTTATTACATAAACACATTATTCATTTTCCTTCCTGCTGGTCTTGAGTTATGCTCAAGTATTTTTTCTTTTCAAAATACAACACAGTGAARCAGCCTTGTTTTCATTTCTGTTGGAAGAAGATTTTGCCTGAGAATCTTGAACAGAGACAACTCCTACTCTAAGAAAATGTAAAAAATCTTTTTTGTGCCCTTAGCTTMCTCTGTGGCCAGAAATAGAACCCCTTTTCAAGGGCTTTCCTCTTAACGTGCCCCTTTTGTGCAACTGAGTACAGGAACTGAGTACTGTGTACAGGAAAGCAAGTTTGTTTCCTCTTTAAGAGATTGTATTTTATATGACTATTATTACAGAAACCTTAAGTAAAATACTTAGAATTTAACACAGTTAAAATAACCAATGCTGACAGGTATATAACTTTCAATTTTAATTGCACTTTACTCTTTAACAAGGAATTGTTAAAATTATGCTTTAAAAGCATAAAATTAAATTGCAGTTTTTATTGTTAAAAAAAGCCCTGATGTATCTTTTCCTTTTTTTTTTCAGATAATCTAAGAAACTGATTTTATAGACGCAGTTCTGCTTGTAAGCTGTTTCAGAAAGAGACAAGTTCACAAAGAGACTCAGACTAGTTTGGAGATGGAGATAACATTAAACAGATGATCCTGGCAGCTGCTGCAGCATCAACACCTCTTTATAGGAATGCTCAGAAAAAGAAGTCAGCAAAGTTTTAGACTTTGCAGAATACTCCCCGCCCAAAGACATCTGCTTTAACATTTTTGCTATGCTTTTGCCAAAAGCTTCAGTGTCTGCAAAGCGAGCTGCACAACGTGAAGTTCAAGTTCCTGCTTTGCATTCACAGACAAGTGGATAAGCAAGCTCAGTGGCTGGAAATGAGCTATCCTCCTCTTAAACTGGAACGCACACGGCACAGTTTTAGTAAGTTAAGTATCTCTTACCTCAGACATCCAGTCAGTCGCTATCAGTGATGTTAATTTTGTTCTCTGTTATTTCAACTTCTAGCTGAAAAATCTCTTATTGGGACACCTTTAYTCTTCCTCCAAAGAAGGCAGCATGAGTGATTAGACATAGTTTGTCTTTTCCAGCTCCTCCCCCCAGCTCTAGCAGTGGGAAACTGCCTCCTTCCTTGGGAGGAAATTCTTAATCTGCTTCAATCCAAGTAAAACCTAGCATTGCACAAGACAAAGACACCAAGCAGTACTACTTGTATGGTGCAAACTATTTCTGACGGCTCTGAAATATTTACAGGGCTTTTAAAGAATATCACGGGGAAAAAAAATAAAGCTCAGTAGATGGAGCTTGTTAGTTAGCTTGTTAGGCAGACTCACATCAGAGAGTATTTTGTAACCTGGCATGAGCCAACTAGTCAGACCTGCTGGTTGTCCTCGGTGTAAACAAACAGCTTCCTGCCCTTTCTCTCTATAACACTAAATTTACTGACTTCAGCATTTCCTTCTCTTTGGTATCATTCTTTTTTTTTAAATCAGTCAATAAATATGAGATTCCTCTTTCCCAGAAAGTCTCCTCCCTTCTGCCACTGAGGGCAGYGGGTGAGTTCAGGCTCACTTTTAAAAGGAGGATGCTGCATTTCCAAGAGGGACAAACACCGCTGTCACATACAAACACAAACAAACTTACCTCCAGTAAAGTCACAGACCAAATACTGCTTTCAACCATTGGTGTAAAGACAGTGAAAACAGGATATAAAATAAAATTTTAATACCAACAAAAACAGCCAAAAAATAAGAAAATGTCACTGATTCTTCGAGGAGAAGCTTTGGTTTGGATTTTTAAAGAAGATGTGCTCCAGCTCCCATCACACACTTGACCAAAAGAAGGCAAATAGGAAACCAGTAGGCGAGCCTGAGCTCAGGAAGCCTGAAAGGGCTAAGCCCCATGCGCTGCTGTCTGCTCCAGGATGAGATTAGTGACGAGGGATGATCCTCCTTCTGTGGTGCTGCTAAAGCTGGGCGGAACAACGTCCCCAGCCCTGTTAAGCAATGCTAGTGTGGCATTTTCGGAGGACCAAAACCCCGCACCGCACCCAGGGCTTTGCAGGGGAACAAGTCCCCAGTGGGGAAACGGAAAGACCGATTAAAACTTACATTCCTGGATGTGAGCAACTTTGCTGTCTTTGTAAGCCAACTGGAAAGAGCCCTTGCAAATGGACTCACAAAGGCAATTCTGAAGGTGAAAAGAAGGGGAAAAGAAAGGAACTATCTAAAAAGTAAACTGTCCAGGAAAAGCCTCAAGGAAAGCAATGCACAGGCTCCTGGAGGAGGGCTGGTGTTTTGCTTGTTGACTCTAACTCAAAAAAAAAAAAAAACTTTAAAAAGTATGCTAGGACAATTTTAGGAAACAAAAAACAATCAGAAAAGCCACACCAACTTATCTAATGTTTTCTCTTGTTAGGGTTATTAGTACCATGGCTCAAAGTAAAAACTACCGATGTATTAATCTTTGTTGTACTTCAAACACACAAAGGGTATTATGTCCAAATAACACATTTATTCAGGTTGACAACTTCTCCTTTGCACAACAAGGTTTGCAGAGGTGACGGTGCTTCTACAGTCGGAACAGAACTCAGTGCACAGACAGGGGCTGTTTACAGGTATCCGCCCTGTCTTTATATTGTTATATCCTTTTTATTTTAAATAAAGAACTCCCAACTCAAACTCCCACATTTTTTCATCAATCCCAGCCTTTTACATTAGAGATATTCCAAGATACAAAAGAAAACCCATCCACAAGATATTTAAAAATATTCACCTGAACTATTCTGCTGTTTTTGTTGCACATGCAGATCTTTTTTCTAGGCARTCTAATTTATTTGAACCAAAAGTCATTAAATGTGCTGCCAAAGAGTAACCTAGAAGGTGTTTACTTTTATATCTTTTAAAAAGCTGACAAAAATGTTGGATGACACTTTGCTATAAACARTAGATGATAAAAACATTCCACTGTAGAAGGTATCCATAAACTATCCAGTCCTCCCAAATCTTTGTAAATTCCGAAGGAAATAACCCAGAAATGATTTATGGCACTCTCTAATACTGCTGTCTTTGGCAACTGAAATCTCTCGCAACCCACAGGCTACGATAGAGCTGGGCAGGAGCTCGTGCATCACACGCAGCTCAGGCAGCGCGYGGACGCAGCCTGTCGAGGAGCGGTGCTGAGGGACGGCGGGCCGYACCCTGCGCAACGGGCCCGTGCCTGGGACTCAGGGGCTCTGGGTGCAGCTGGGGTGCAGCAGCAGGGAAAGCGCGTGCGAGACAGCCAAGGAGATCCTCATCTCTGCACGTGAGCCAGGGCTGMTGTGACCACTGCTGAACTGCAGCTCGCTCCACAGGCACCCCTGCACGGGCCGCAAAACCTGGAACACTGCAAACACCAGAAAAAGTGTAACAACTACAGCTAAAAACTAGTAACAAACCAAAAACCCTTGGCTTCCTTGACCTGTAAGAGGATTTTCTTGGACGGATCTCTGCTCCTCTTCTGCATCCAAGAAGCATTCTGCTGTTTTCCAAGCCAGGCCCCGCTGGGCAGGGTCTGCCACGGATGCGGCCAACACAAAATGCCCCTCGAAACCCTGGGCAGCAGCGCTGGCACTGATGGCACCAGTGGAGCCAGCTCTTGCTTTCTGCCCGTGAGGATCCCACACTACCTGCTGTCCCTGGGAAGAAGAGTCTCTAAATGAAGACTCCCACCAACCTCAGTCTGACGCTTTAGCAGAATCAAATGCGCAAGACGAGGACCAGAGGGCACTTAGGAGCATTTTTCCCGTGACACCTACCCAGCTGCAGAACCCACCCAAGCTTGCAACTCAGTGTCCATCAGCCARTTACGGGGACTCACTCTAATCACAGCATCAGTAAGAGGGCTCAGACTCAGTCCAGCTTAATAAAAACCACACAGCACGTTCCAAAAGTGCAAGTTCAAAGCCTGCACTGGGATCTGGACTGTGACAGGGGTCACGTTGACAGTGGCCACAGTCACTTCTATCTCCTGTCTTGCAGTCTAGGGTTAACGTTCCCTCATTGTTCATTGTCCAGGATTAGCCATTTAATGTGCTTCCACATAAAAGATGCCTTCTGAGTTTTGYAAGTATTATTTAAATTCTGTGGCAGCATAAGCAAGCCACCGAAAGAAYACTTCAAAGTCAATCAGCTTCAAATTCTAGTTTTGATTTTCTTGTTTTCCCCTGAATAGGTATATTGACAAACAGCTTCCCAACAACAAACGCAGTCCCAGTTCTCACATTAAAAAAACTATGCTATTTGACATAAAAAGAACTACAGCTACAGTCAAAACCTATTTTTCTCTGGTAAATACTTTAAAAAGTCAGTTTTACTTTCTCCGTAACATTACTTCTATCTCAGCATGTTTATGAATTATGGCATAGTCTTTCACCGCATGTTTTCACACTGTGGTCTTCTGTATGTGGTGCACTTTCCATGAGTTTACGTACAGTGTAAATGTGTTGCATCTGTATCTTCGCTATCTTAGCTACCACTCCATAATCCAGACAGACTCTGTACCAAAGGCAATGGGCTTAACATATATAAGGCACAATGAAAACTAGCAGGTATCAATGTCAGTTCCCAGCTATGCTAGGCAGTAAAGTGCTTCAACTCTGGCAGCTTCACCCATTTTCTTAAAAAAGAGTAAGCAGGAAATGAATCCTCAGTACTGTAGACCACTATGTCTCCCTACAGACAGAGCTTCTATTATAGAAACATCTACAGCAACAAAATGCAGCAGTGACAATAAGCAAATACATAAGAAAGATAAGCAATGCTGAGTCATAGAGAACTCTTCATTTTTGGTGAGCTATCAAGCTATCATATGAATAACTGAAGCTTTATTTTCCTGCTCCTTTAAGGCAGGATAACTATTACTATTATTTCTATTGCAGTAGCATCTTCAGATCCCAGAAGAGCTCTGGGTCCTGTGTACTAGGCACTCTATCAACAAAAAATTACTATGTTTGCTATAAACAGAGATGAATAAAAAGGATCTTATGTCAGTCAAGGAAGAGTTCATCTTCCAAAAGTCTCTGTGGACGTTACTGCACACAGCTTTGCTAGCACAATGTGTATTTTCTCCTTTTTGTGTCAGTAGCTGAGAATCACCCTTTGTCTCTGCGTCTCATGAAGATCGCCCGCGAAAGTGCAACGGCAGGAGAGTTACCTACAAACATATAAACTGAAAGAAGAAAAATATTATATGTGGCTATCTGAAGATGTCTCGAGAGTTATAAATTGTGACTGAAATATTCCTGGACAAGCACCAGCGGTCAAAGCGAGCACTTAAGCACCGGACTGCTTCACCTACCACTGTCCTTCCCTGCGAGCTCTCAGCGCGCAGCGGGAGGCGAGCGCAGCCCCCCCACCTCCGTCAAGGGAAGAGGTGCCCGAGCACCAGCTCCCATACCTTGTATCTGTCCATGGGATCCTCCTGCTGCAGCTGGCTCTCGCGCATTGTTTGGTACTCTCGCTCATATTTCTTCAGCTTTTTGGTTGGCACCTGTGGGACACATTCAGAGAACATGCATTTAAAGATTAGAAAAACACCGGAAAAAAATGTCTGAAAGCTCCGCTTGCAAACAGGAAGCGAAGGAAGTGCAGGATCCCCTGCTGTGCCCAGCGGCTCCCCGGTGCCCCCTCCTCTGCTGCCGCTGACAGCCCTGTCAGAGCCTCGCCAGCGCCGCTCACAGCGACGGAAATCCTCCCGCGCCCACGGCTGCTAATTTCTCAGATGTTTGAGGGAAAACAGCGCTGAGGTGGAGGCATTTCAATAGGAGAAACAAGAAGGAAAAAAACATAACCAAAAGGAATGAGAAAGCGAGGAGGAAAGCACTCTTTGATATGTGTTGTTCACTGATGCAAAGTTGTTTAGCAGGGATGGCAAGAAAAGCTACTTGGGGTGAAATCAGAGGAAGGGAGGGAGCTCTCAAAAGCACTGGGCAATTCACTGGGGGAGAATTAGAGTAGTGACTGTTTCTGCTCAAATCAAACAAGACAGCAGAGAGACAAGGCACAAGTACCCGCAGCTCCCGCCAAGGCAGTGAGGCCGGGTACGAAGCCCCAGCAGGAAGCAGAGGCTGCTGCCCTGGCCGGCCCCAAAGGCCGGCGCGGGCCGGGCGCAGGGCTGCAGCCGCCGGCGCGGCTCTCTGGCCTCCTTTTCTCCATGTTAGTGTTTCAAGCTGCCCCAGAGCAACCTTGTTTCTCTGGCATCCTGTATTGTTCTGCACCCAGAGGAGGCAGAATTTAACTCCTGCAGTTCTTCTTTGGCACTTAATCACCTGCCTCAAAAACACACAAAATTACTCCGAGCGCACTGAGCTGCTCCTGTGATTCTTCACAAATTCCCCTTTCCACACACTGAGGGCTTCTGATCATTTCTTAACRCTTGATACTTCTTCCCACCAAGTGCTTTTATTTATAAGCTCTTTTGCAGCCTTAGATTTTAATTTATGCCTGCAAGCAGGATGATGCCTGGGCCCTCTCTTTGAAAGGCCTCARGAACTGTTGTAAGATATCCCAACTTAAGCACAGTAATATCTGCTTATGCAACAACCTTAATAGGAAAATGGTGCTTAAATACAGTGAAATTCTATCTTAAGGATGGCATCCGGAGGGAAATTTCTATTAGAAAAATGTTTCATACTAATCCCCTAATGCCGTAACAACCCTCGGGTGGATCTGCTCTGGAACCTGGGCATGTGCTGAGCTTCACTGTGACGGTCTTTTCCGCCACAGTATTCAAAGGAGGGGGAATATTTATTACAGCACTTTCCTCTGGATATCACTGGTAAACTAAAATCAAATACTTGTTTCCATATTCCCTATTTAACTCCTTTAAACAGCTTGCAAATTCAACAGGTGTCCTCTCTCTAAGCCCTAGTAAGTGCATATTCTTAGCTATGCTTCAGTGTTCCTGCACTGGCCCCAGACAACTGTGCTCAGAAATTTGCTGTAGAAGCTTCTGTGCTATTGATCCCATCCCTCTTCAGCAGTAGGGGCTGTTGGCTGCAAGTGCCGGTTATCATGTTTCAGAGGCTCGTACTGTTTATAAACATCACTCATCTGTTCAGCTCCCTACCGCATCCTCCTGCCTCCTTTCATTTCACCATGTTCAAGCATAGAAGCATGTGGCAGCTACTCGTGCACCCAGGGAAGGCAACCCTGGCTCACCGGCAAGGCCAGTACTGGAGCAGCATCCAGGTTGGGAAACAACAGCTCCCAATCCTACTGGAAAAAACATGCGGAGCAGATGCCCACAGAGAACAGTCATGCCCTGTGTAAACACCTCCCAGGAAGAGGTGTAAGAGCCCAAAACAAAAGTGCAAAACCTAAGACTAGGAGCTGAACCTGGACTGAATCTAAATGAGATGTCAGAAACATATTTTGAATAGCAAAAGATTAATAATTACCATGGAAAGTGATACAGTGCCCACCTCCTGTTACATTCAGAGTGGAGCCAGGCACTTTACCAGAAGAGGCACTTCACTCAAAACAGGTTTGGATTTTCAAAAAAAATGCTGCCAGGATGAAGTTGAATCAAAGGGATCCTGGCTAGAGGATCTAGAGAGGGAGATCGAGCCCCAAATGCTGAGTACTGGGGGTGGGCAGGCCTAAGCACCCCGCTTATCTCTACGCAGTGTAACCGGGCTGCCCAACGCGGGCTAGTCACGGACATGGTCAGACACGCTGCAGGCTGCAGCACGGAGCAGCCAGCAGAAACCAGCACAGCCGCAGGCTCGCACACCTGGGCCAGGGCAGGGGAGGCTGAGCAGCAGCTCCCACCTTCCGATGCAAGAGGGAACGGCCCCAGGGACCCTCCCACTGCCAACCGCCCCGACTTGATTCCACCCACATGCTGAAGGCTACGGCTTCACTTCACGCTGACATTAAATATGCACAACAGCAACATTCTGCTATACACTGAAATTTTAGGAGGGCAGAAAGGAAGGCGATGCTAGGGGAAAATAAACAGCTCAAGGACTGCCACACAGCCTATTCATTCCCATAGTTAATGAGAAATGAATGATGYAAGTTAAAGCAGGAAGGAACAAAGGTCGGGTTACAGGCAGTTACTCGTTACTGTGGTGCAGAAGGAGCTTCGCCTCGTGGCATGCACCTGGCAAGCCTGAATTCGTGCATGCTGCACAGCCTTGCCAGGAGCTTCATCAGCTCCCATCCCTAATTAGGCTTTTCTAGCAATAGCAGGGACTTTAAACCTGYTTTTAGACACCAGAAGACCGTGATTAGATCCCTTGTTAGACTTCTCTTCCTCAGGCTAAGCCAGCCCGGCTCCCTCAGCCTTCCTTCATAAGATTCTGCTCTCCACGGGCCTCTCCTGTCCATGCAAGCTCCTCCTGGACACAGTGCATCCTCCTCCAGTGTCCAGAGTGCAGCTGCAGATGTCAAACTGTATTAGCCCCTCTACCAGCTCATAAGAGGGACTTCTAGGCAGCTGCCAGGTAGACCCGAAACACCTGTGATCTTCCACAGCATCCCCACGTACCGAGGCTTGGCTCACTGGCCTGTAGCTTCCCCAGAGCCTCCTCCTGTTCTGCAGATGGTCCTAACATTTGCATTTTCCCCCATCACAGGTGATCTCTGCTACCTGCTTGATCTTTCCACAGACAACAGACCCACCTGGGCCTCGGCTTGGTCCCTGGACACGTCTTGCTAAGTGCCAGGTGCCCCCAGGTGCCCATCACTGGCCTGATCCTTGGCTTGTGCAGTTGCACCCTCAGCCTTTGCATCCAGGTGCAGAACTAGGAAGCTGGTCACCCCTCTGCACAATAGATGTAAAACCTACCTGGTCCCAAAAGTAGCAAATTAAAGTTATTTTGCATACATAAAAGTGATCACATAAGAGAAAAACCAACAGAGAAACATATCTAGAAATTTCCTTTATACTGACTACACAGCAAAACAACCATGTGTCATGGTCACGCTGCAATATGACTAATTTTTAGAATAAAAATATATGTTAGAGGACTGTAAACATACAGTGTTGCTTTGGAGCATATTTAACAAAATGTCATCGCAGATCATCTATCTTTTTGGCATCTTRTGCTTATTAGTAGCAGCAGTTGCCCAAAATTGTTTAATAGAGTTAGTTGTTCATAAGTGCACTAAGAAACTAGTCGCCATCGTTCAAGGTATCTTACTGAGGAAACATTCCTGTTTAATGCTGCAGTATTTACATGGATCAAAGAAATGCTGCAAAAACACTGCAAGATTTTTCTGCCAAAAATTTTACCTTTTTCACCAAAACTACTAGGATTGACTTGAATTGGAAACAGCAAAGAACTCAGSACTGATTCAGTTCACAGCCTCCGGAGCCGCCCCGGCTGCACCTCTGCATTAAGACGGCTCCTGCCTCTTGCCGTCTTTCTGGGAATCCTCCCTTAGGCATCAGCGAGAGGGAGGCCCGCGGCCTGCGCCTCTTTTGCTGCCCATATTAACTCCCTGCAACTTACTTACATGGAAACTGTACGAGAGGCCACCATGYGTCCTGCCTGGTTAGAGGGTCTGCGGTTCCTCACCCATCGCAAGCCTCGCTGRGCTCCGCCAAAGCCAGCCTGGCGTCCAAGCGCGGGAGCCTGCTGCAAGTTATCGCTACACCGGTCACAAAACAACTTGAAATCTTTCTCTGCGCTCCAGAAAACATGCAAGGAATGTCTCTTAGAATAAACAAAACCTTAACTTTGCAGCTAAACAGATGGATGCCCRCAGCTAGTCAAAGTCCACTATTAAACCCCACAACAGAGGTCCAAGAGGGGCTTTCTGAGCCCCCAGKCCTACAGGGCCGGGGCAGCTCCCACACATGGTCTGAGCCATCACTGTTCTGGCCAACTGCGTCACCTTCAGCCTGTTAATTGCTTATTTAAAACACTTCAAAACTGACTTAAAAGCAGTTACGTCTTTTCTGCATAAATCCTGTCTAAAAAAAAGGCATTTCTTAGCCTATTCATTGGTAACATAGTGTACTGAAGGACACCGATATACTCCTTGATTCAAAATAAAGCACCACAGCGTTGATAAAAGCACACCATTCCACTCAAGTTAATCATTCATATCTTATCCAAAGCAGTAACAGTGGCGTTTTTCCCTTCTAGAGCTGGTGTGCCCAGGTAGCCCCGCGTGCCGGCAGTGAGGTGCTGCTTTGCACAGACATTATTTGTCAACGCGCTCGCTCTTCGCGTTTTCAACGCCAGCCAGGACAGCAAGGTGCTGCTGCTGCTGAGCCCAGGCTCTAACCAGGTCAGTTGAGCATATTGAAGTACATGGGTTTCCTACACCGTAATTCTTTAGCTAACTCTGCTAAAATACCTTTTTAAATCTAGCTTAAATGAAATCACAGCGGGGAAAAAAGAAAAAAAGAACAGGGCATCATAACAAAGGTAAAACTCTGCTTTCGGGATGGAGGCCTTTGGGATTTGCAGGGCTACAAGTTCACACACCTGGGATTTCCTGAGCAGGGAAGGGCAGAGGCAAACAAACAGCCAG